CTGGGCCCTGCCCTGATGGTCCCGAGAGACTGGCCTGGCTCCTGTGTGCCCAATGTTGCCTGGTGTGGAGGGTGGGCATGTGCTGTTGGTGAGAGTTCACTGGGTTCCTCTGAGCAGCCCTGGGCACAGGGCTGTTGTCCCCTGGGAAGGAAGTGGGAGTTGGGAAAGAAGGAAGGGAGGCAGTGCCCCCTCCCTCCAGGGATAGAGGAAGTAGGAGATGTGGTCCTGTGGTTCCTTGTGTTCCCGTGAGAGATGGGCATGGCTGCAGAGGTGAGGCTAGCAGGTGGCGAGTGCTGGGTCCGCCTTCCCGCTGGCCTCTCAGGGCTGGCAGCTCCAACTGTGGGCGGCCTCATGTCCTTGTCAGATCCACACCGGGCCCCCGTCAGCAGCCACTGCCCTCTGCCGGGGCATGGAGCCCAGAGCATGTATCCTGCGCAGGTGAATGCCCGAGGCAGGGTGTTCACGCACACACACTCGCCACTCATATTTTTCCTGAGCCTTGGCCAAGGATACTGCGACCTCTGCTGAGCTGGCCACCCTTGGCTTCCTTTCTTCCGGGCTGGGAGATGCTGAAGGTGAACTACTCTACTTCAAAAAGTCTGTGGAAGATGGGATTGAACGTTTATTTTGGTGCAAAGCAAAACAAAGCAAATTAAATCCCATGCAGAGTTCTTCATTGCACACATTTTTCCACAGTCTTTTTGGAGACCTGGCTAATCTGTGGATTTCATGTCATCCCTGCCGGGGAACCCTGCGCCAGCCACGGGGGGTTCTGCGGGTAGAGTGGCTGCTGAGGGCATGAAATCAAATGACAATGGTGGGTTTAACACTTGGTTTATTGCTCAGACTTTTGTGCACTTCTGGGTCAGGGAGGAGGCTGGCTGAGCACATGGGTGTCGTCACCATTAAGTCATTTAGTGGCCACATCATGTGTGAGCTCAGAAGCGTCTGCCAGGAGGGAATTCGCTGTGCAGGTCTGATTTAGGGATCCGATCTGGGAGCCGTCCACAACCTCCTGTCTCCTGAATACCAGGAGGGTTTGTCCATCTGCCTCCCAGACTGGGAGCCCATTCCTCTCTACCTGCTTGCCCTGTCCTCCAGTTAGCAAATGCTTGGGACAGCAGCGTGGAGAGCGCTTCAGCCTGTGCCCCTGCCCCTTGGAGTCGCCTCTGACGGCAGCAGAGAGGTGATGGTGCCTGTCCGTCGCAGGCCTTCACCCTTGGGCTTCCTGTGCCTGTTGGCTGGTTGAGCAGAACGGATGGGCCTTCCTGTCTGCGTCTTGGAGGGTCGGGCTCTTTGCATGTCGTGAGATATTGGGGGCAGTGGCTAGCTTGCCCCTCCAATCCCCCGTCAGGTGCAGTTCTGTGTAACCTAAGCAAGGGCCCTAGTCACCTGTGTCCGCCAGCCTTGCCTGCTTTGCCCCTGCGCTCTCGACAAATATTTGTCAAGTGACTTTTTTACGAGCTAGGCTTAGATGGCCACACGCTGGGAGGAGGGCAATAGTTAGAGCTCAGCTCTCCGCCCAAGTGCAAGACCATAAAGTTGTCTTGAGCTGCTGTTTATCCCCATCTCAGTCTCGGGGAGAGCCGGGATAATTGTGGCAATGCGTCAATCCTGCATTTGTGTATTTCTTAGACACTGCCTCGCAGCCGGAGCAGTTAAGCTTCCTTCCCTGAGCTCTCATCAGGAAATGCCCAGAGAGGGACACTTGTAACTAGCCCACAAAGTAGGGACTTTTATTGGAAGATGGATGTGCAGAGAAGTAGCAGGGAGTTCTTGTTCCAGCTGTTTCCTGTTTTGGAGGAATAGACGCTGAGTCTGGTTTGGGTGGGGGTTAGGGACAGGGCATTGGTGCGCGCTGTCACAGTTGGCACAGGTGCTGCAGCTCATGGCGGGAGGCTGTTGCTGCCATAGCGTGGGAATCATTCCCAGCTGGTCTTGCATTGGCTGAAGAGGGTCCTTTCTGCCTCCCTCAGTCCAGTGAGCAACATTTCACGAATGCTAAGCTCCGGGAACCAAAGGCTCAAATTGTACCTGTATATGCATCGTTTGCGAATGTCCACACCGAAAGCTGGGCCTCCAGGAGCCTTTGCTGCAGGTGGACTTAATGTATCCAAAGAGCCAGTGTTTCTTCCCCTTCTCCTTTGCGCTTGCCAACTGGTGTGAGATCATTTCTCACAGTCCTTGGGCACTGGAATGCCCCACTAGTGGGCTAAATGAGAAAAGCCTGGACTAGGGCCCAAAGAGCTCCCCCATGGAGTGGTGCTGTCTGCCACGGAAATAGCAGTGCTTTGAGGAGCCACCAACATCCCAGAACAAGCTCTCTGGAGCTTCTGGAGACACAGACTCTTGTGAACATTTATTTTTCAATTACAGGAAGACCCAGATTTATTGAGCAGATTGGCCAGTGGGAGGGGACTGGAGGAAACTGGGCAACAGGAAAAGTTTACAGTGGAAGCTGTGGGACTGGTGTTGTGGCACGGTGCTGGTGTCCTGCAGTGGAGTGCTTCTTCTAGTCCTGGCTGCTCTGCTTCCTGTCCAGCTCCCTGCTAATATGCCTGGGAAGGCAACAGAAGGTGGGCCCGAGTGTTTGGGCTGCTGCCCCTACGTGGGAGACCTGGATGGAGATCCTGGTTTGTGGCTTTGGCCTGGCCCAGGTCTAGGTGGCGTGGTCACTTGGAGAATGAACAGTGGATGGAAATCTCATTCTTGCTATCTCTCTCTCTTTTGCTGTTCTTTTCCCAATGAGTGAATGGATAGGAAATTGGGCAATGGATGCGGTTCTGTGCAGTGGGTGACGTCACCACTTGGGACCGACATCCCATGGCAGTGTCTGAGTCCTGCTAATGTGCTGAGAGATGGGGAACAGTGACCCAAGTACTTGGATTCCTGCTCCCCACATGGGCCACCAACATGGGGCTGCTGACTCCCGGCTTGTGCCTGACTTAGCCTCAGCTGTTGCCAACATCTGGAGAATGAAGCGACGGATGGTAGATATCTTTCTCTCTGTTTCATTTTTCAATCGTATACATCTTAAATAAAAAATTTTAAATGATGTGCTATGTAGAAAGTTGAGTAGAAACTGAGATAGGTAAGAACAAATGAAAAGTCTACTTAAAAAAAAAAAAGCCAGACTTCTGTAATCTGAGAAGCCTTTATGTGGAGAAGGTGTTGTGTGTGCTGGGAGTGCAGGGGTGAGGGTGAGTGGCTTTGTGTTGAATCTGAGCGATCTTCATTAGTGTCAGGCATTGAGCAGTAATGCACGCTAATTGACTGGCGTACAGCATCAGAGTTGAGACCCTGAGTCTGGAACTCTGTCTTCTCTGGGCCAACATTGTGGGAGAAGTGGTCCAGATAGCCAGAGGGGTCACAGAGGGCTGGATGAAAGAACTGGGTGAGGGTAGGCTCTGGGGAGGACGAGGGGTGGAGGATTTAGGGATTTGAAGTGCTGTTGCTGAATAACTTGGGTTGATCCTTGGCTTTTGCAACTTGAAAGGGCTAAACTAGACTAAGAGGACGGCTTTTAAAGACCTGCATTTCTTGGTCAATTTTAGCTAGACTGTGCACCTGTCGCAGTGACAAATACAGAGGCAGCCCCATGAGGTGACCTCTGGTGGTACGATGCTGTGACAGATGCTGGACTAGCAGAACCTCACCTGGACAGACCTGTCTGGCCTTAAAGGGTCCCACTCCTGTCCAGGTTCGTGTCTCTGGCAGACATGACAGGATGTGTACTGGGCTCTGGGATGGACCAGAGTCAAATCCTTTGTCTGAAGCTTCTCCTCCTGTAGCATGTGGGACCCAGCCAACCCTGCCAGCTCCTTGGGGCTTATGGAGGCCCTCAGTCCTCCAGGCCACTGTGGTCAGCCTTGGTCTCACCTTCAGTCTCTTCCCCCAGGTCAGCATCCCAGCTCTCACAGCTCCACTCCTATAGGCAAAACACACCGGTTCTTTTCCATTTTAATCCTCTTTCTGTAGCGACCTGTCCTAGAAGCTCTCGGCTGCCCTCGGCCTCTGTTCCACCACGGGACTGTCTGGAGGACACACTCCCTACTCATTTCTTCTGTCTAATGCCAATACCCTCATTCCCGGGGTGCTTAAAGCCACATTGACTCATTTATTTGAAGGACTGCGGAGGAGGGAACATCTTTAATTAGCTGGTCTGCTTCCCAGATGGCAGCAGCTGCCAGGGGTGGGCCAGGCTGAAGCCAGGAGCCAGGCACTCAATCCAAGTCTCCCACATCGGAGTCCAAGCACTTGGACTGTCACCTGTTGCCTTCCCAGGTGCATTCACAGGAGAGGTGCAATGCTTGTCAGTTATTTTTAATTATTATTGTTGCAAATAATCAGAAGTGAGGAAAAATGATGGGTTGTTGGAATTGTCCTGTCTGGGTTGACCGGTGGTACTACTAGGAGTTGGAACAGTCTCTCTTCCATTCCTAACTTTATGTATTTTCATCTCCAAAGAACGTACAGTTCTCTGGGAATTCTGGGTTTTCCCTTTCAGTGGTGTTGCTGTGGCCTCTGATTGGGCAGCACTGTGTCAAGTGTCAGTCTGGAGCCAATCAGCTCGTCTGCAGAGATGCTGTGCTCTGAATGGCCAGCGGGGCTTTGCATCAAGCCCTGCATTGGAGGAAGGGGTGGGACATTCTCTCCATGTGGATGCCATGTGTAGTAGTCTGATGCTGGTGGCCAGGGGCTGCCTTCCCCCTCCTGGCTTTGTGGAGGCCTGTGTGCATAGCTGGCTGACGTGTTGCTTTCTCTGGCCTGGGGCTTTCCTCCCGTGTTGATCTTGTCTTGGGATGGAAACCTTTTCAGAGGCCTCAGGAAAGGGACTAGCGCCTCAGACAGGAAGCAGTAACTTGCCAGGTGGCCAGTGTTGGTACCTCCTGACCTCCTGGCTCTGGCGGGTGCTAGCTGTCCACCAGCTGTCCCACCTGTAAGTGTACCTTGGCCCTTCCCCTACCACTGACGGCTCTGTCTGACCTTCTTATGTGCAGGGAGCTGCTGGAGACCACGTGTCGCCTGGCCAACACGCTGAAGCGGTATGGAGTCCATCGAGGGGACCGCGTGGCCATCTACATGCCTGTGTCCCCCATGGCTGTGGCAGCCATGCTGGCCTGTGCCAGGATCGGAGCCATCCACAACGTCGTGTTTGCTGGCTTCAGTGCCGAGTCCTTGGCTGGGAGGATCAATGATGGTAAGCAAGGTGGTGTGTGTGTGCGTGTGTGTGTTGAGCCGAGTGCAGTGCAGGTCACATAGTGGTAGAGTAAAGGAGAAAGCCTGCAGGGGCTAGGGATAGCACCCCTGGACAACAGCTGCGAGTCTTCAGAGTCTTTCTTCCTAGTGTCACCTCTACTTGCTTTGGCTGCTGTTGGCAGGTCTAGTGTCCACGTGGTGGCCCAGGTCCGCGTCTTCCGACCTCTGCTGTGTCCTGCTGGCTCCCAGTGGAAGGTGCTAGACCTGGAGACCATTGTGTTTCTGTGTCTCAAGGAAGACCTGTCTGCTTGAGGGGTACAAGCTCATTAGGCTGTCCTCTTTAAAGAAGATTGGAAATCTTTTCAAGTTTCTTCTCCACTCTTCAGGGCATGCACCCCCGTGTCTCCTTCTTGGTCCCTCTGTAGACCTCTGTAACACCTGCTGTGCAAGGCACCCTAGTGAGCACTGTGCAAAACTCATCTGCTTTGATCTAACTCACTCAATATTTACATGTTAGACTGGACTCGTGCTGTTTTCCCTTCATGCTATAAAATGACTGTGTTAGCCATCTGGAGATGTACAGTCCTGTACAGCCATCATTGCTCTTTAGTTCCAGAACTTTCCATCACTCCGCAGGGTCAACCCATCCCCACTGAGGGGCCTTTCCTCTCTGCCCAGTGTCTGGAAATCACGGGTGTGCTTTTCTGTTCCTGCAGTTGGTCTGTTGGGGATGTGTCACGTCAATGAACTCACACAGCATGTGGCCTTTCATATTTGTCTGTTTTCACCACTCTTCAAGGCAGGTGCATGCTATAGCATGCTCCGTTTCTTTTTGACATTGAGTAATGCACCACACTTTGTTCACCCAGCCATCAGCTGATGGGCCTTGAGCTGTCTCCACTTTCTGGCTGTTGGAAATGGTGCTGTTTATGAATGTACAAGGACAATTTGCCAGGTTTCAGTTGTTTTGGTTCATAAGTAGGAGTGGAATTGCTGGATCCTGTGGGAGGTTCATGATGGACTTAATTGAGAAGGTGTAAGGTTGTTTGTGGAAGGAACTGCTCTGTCTTAGTAGCGTTAATAGCAGTATGTCGGGACTTCCAGTTGGTGGTTCTGCTTGTTGAATCCTATGAGGTCTTTGTACAATGCCAAGGATTCAACCTTTATCCTCTATGTAATTTGTCCCTTTCGGGGGTGGTGGGAGTCTTTTTACCACTTCCAAAGTTTTTAATTTTGATGAATGCTAGTTCATCTGATTTTTTTTTGCTATATTATTTGAGGAATCGTCAGTTAATTTTGGGTCATGAAGATTTGCAGTTATGCTCCTTTTAAAGGTTTTATAAGCTTTAACTTTGAGATCTTCGATCCACATTGAGTTGATTGCCATCTAGGGTGTGAGGTAAGGTCCATTTTCATTCTTTGCCCTGGCACCAGTTTTTGGTCCTGGCACCATTTTTTTTTTTTTGAGAATTTTCTTTCATGGAATGGTCTTGGTCTTGGGACCCTTGCTGAAAATAATTTTACTGTATTTCTGAGGAATGGTTTCTGCAGTATGTATTTCTTCCACTAACCTGTGTGCCCAGCCTTACCTCAAGACCAAATTGTTTTGGTAATGTTAACTTTATAGTAAGTTTTGAAACAAGGAAATGTGAATCTTCTAACTTAATCTCTTTTCCAGGATTGTGTTTGGCTATTCTGAATCCTTCATTTTTGTCTGATTTAGGATCATCTGTTCCATTTCTACAAAAAAAAAATGCTGTTGAGATTTTGATAGGGATTATACTGAATTGAAATTGGGAGTGTTGTGGAATTAATAACAGTAATCCATGAACATAGGGTACTTTGCCATTCCTTTTTTTTTTTTTAAGATTTATTTTCACTAGAAATTTATATATAGAGAGAGGAAGAGAGACAGAGAGGAAGATTTTCTGTCTACTGATTCACTCGTCAACCGGCCGCAATGGTTGGAGCTGCGCCAATCTGAAGCCAGGAGCCTGGAGCCTCCTCCAGATCTCCCACTTGGGTGCAGGGACCCAAGGCTTTGGGCCATCCTCAACTGCTTTTCCAGGCCACAAGCAGGGAGTTGAATGGGAAGTGGGGCTTCTGGGATTTGAACCTGCGCCCATATGGGAGCCTGGCATATGCAAGGCGAGGACTTTAGCCAATAGGCTATTGCATGGGGCCTTTGCCGTTCTTTTTAGTGTTTTTAATAAAATAATTTCTCTATTTATTTGAAAGACAGAATGACAAATTGAGAGAGAGAGATATCTCCCACCCCGCCAGTCGTGCTACAGCCAGGCAGAGGCCCAAGTGCTTGGGCTGTCTTCTGCTGCCTTCTGGGTGTGTTAGTAGGGAGCTGTACTGGAAATGCAAAGCAGCCAGGACTCAAATCAAACTCTCTGATATGGGCAACCTACCTGGCTGCTTAACCAGCTATACCACAATGCCTGTTCCGGGTCTTTAAAAATTTCTTTTAGTGGGGTTTTGCCGTGTTGGGTGTAGAATTATTGCACCTCTTCTGTAGAATTATTTTCAAGATATTTTATTCTTTTGAAATGTTGGAAAATGGATTTTTTAAAACTCATTTCCATTACAGAGTATACACTGCTTCTGTAGAACTGTAATTGTAAACGCTCTGCTTTACTTAGAAGCTCTGATCATCCCTTGTGGAGTCCTTAGGGTTTTGTCCACACCGGATTACATCCTGCGTTGAATAGAGATGGCTTTATTTCTTCCTTTCCAGCCTGAATGCCATTGATTTATTATTCCTGGCTACTCCCTCTGGCTGGAATTTTGGTTATAGTGTTGCCTTGCACAGTTAAAAAGCGGGCAATCCTTGTCATGTCTCTGATCCCAGAGGGAGGAGAGTCAGCCAAGTATGATGCTAGTGGGGATTTTCATGGATACCCTGTCCCAGATTTAGGAGGTGCCTTTCCATTTCTGGCTTATTAGGTGTCATTATCATGAACAAATGCTGTTTGTCATGGGAGCCATGGCACCTGGTCCAGGCTGGGGAGGTGCAGGTGCACCCTCTCTGACCAGCGGTGCTACGGGTCCTGCCTGTCCCCATGCTGTCGCTCACACAGTAGCTGCCCCCCAAGCCTCGGGGAGCAGAGCATGCTTAATGCTCAGACGTCCCCAGGACTCTATCTGTGAATGCTTCTGAGGGTCGTTCAGGCAGGGACGTCCTGGTCAAGGGATTGCCAAGGTAGAGGGGTTCCTTTGCTGTGGTCCTGATCCCTGGTGTGTGTCCATCCCCACCCTTGGTCTCAGCCTTGGTGGCCATGAAAACTCAAGTGTACGAATTTGGCTGCATCACAGGAGAGTAGGTGTGGAGGCCCGGGGGAAGGGGACTGATCTGACATGCCTGCGTTGTGTCCTACAGCCAAATGCAAGGTGGTCATCACCTACAACCAGGGACTCCGTGGAGGACGCGTGACAGAGCTCAAGAAAATCGTGGATGAAGCCGTGAAGCAGTGCCCAACTATCCAGCATGTCCTGGTGGCCCACAGGACAGACGCCAAGGTCAACATGGGGCCCCTGGACGTCCACCTGGAGCAGGTGAGTTGACCTCTCTGTGGGCAGCTTTTGTCTGCACTAGGGGAGGGGGAGGGTGGCTCATTGGGTTGTGGTTCTCAATCTGGCTTCCTTGGAAGTCTCCAGGGGTCCCCATGGTATCTCACAGGCTTGTGTCCTAGTCGGAGACAGATTTCAAATCCCACAATCATATGGGAACACAGAGCACAGTGGGAACGATTGGACCCATTCTTTCATTTTATGTTCTCTCTGTGTTGGAGTTCAACTTGGGAAGGCTGGAGAAGGCAGAACATGGCAGCTGAGCAGCTGCGTTCTCAGCAAGGTTAAGTGGAGGGAAGAGACCAAGTGCCCTGGACTAGCTCTTTCTTCCTCTGTGCAGGAAATGGCCAACGAGGTCCCTGTGTGTGCTCCAGAGATCATGGGCAGTGAGGACATGCTGTTTATGTTGTATACCTCAGGAAGTACCGGCAAGCCCAAGGGGCTGGTCCACACCCAGGCAGGCTACCTGCTGTACGCTGCCGTGACACACAAGGTAGGGGGTTGGACCTCATGCGGGGCTGGGAGGGGCTGTGGTTGTTGGCAGGGCCTCCTGCTGCCCTAGGAGTCCTCCCACAGGGATGCCCAGCCAGGGCTTCCTGCCTGTGGCCTGTGGATTCAGGGTCCCAGCCAGCTCTGACATCCCAGCTTCTGAAGCTGACCCACAGGCTGCACGCTTCAGGCCCTGGAGACATGGCACCTCTGACTCTGTGGTCTCTTATTCCACCAAGATCAGAATACCATCTTCTACAGCTGGGTAGAACTGGGTCTACACAAGCTGGGTCCCAGCTTGTGGTCTGGGTCACCTTCAAAGTTAGACTCCATGTCCAGCTCTGCTGACTTGGGTACACAGGGGTGGGGTGGGGTGGTGGGTGACCTGGTTGGTCCGGAAGTTGGGGAGCTGGGCTGGGATGCTGTCCTGGCTGGTAGCACCTCCTCCTGCCCATCTCAGCTGCACAGACCAGCTCCCACCCAGGCTTCTGTGCCTTAGCTGGGCTGAAGCAGGAATGGAGAGAGTCTGGGCAGCATCTGCAAGGGGTTCCAAATACTGTGGTCAAGGGATGCTCCACCAATCTGGGTCACCTGGGCGGTGAGAGTGAGGAAAGAGAGTGCGCAAGGTGGCTCCCCAGAGGGAGGAGCAGGGGAGCTGGTGTTCATACTCACTTTACAACCTGTAAGCTTGGCTTGCCAGTCTCCACCCACATGTTGACAGGCCAGCTGACCGCGCCTCACAATGCACACGGTTGCCACTGGCACTGTGGCCTTGAGCAAGTCATGAGCCTTCTGTATCCCAGTCTTACAACCTGGAAAAATCCCATTCCTCCCATCCCGGGAAAGGGGAAGCCGCTGGCTGTTGGCAAAGATCAGTGGGTTGAGTAAGGAAAAACACTTTGGAAAATATCACCACTGGGTTCAAGCACCAGGGGAGCCACAGTGCGCTGGCAGCTCAGGTGAGGGCGTGTGCCAAGGGCTTGGTGCAGTGGGCTGTCCGGGCTCTGAGTTCAGTCACTGGAATCTTGGTGGTAGTGGTGGTGGTGTGGGTGTGCTCCCGTGTAGGTGCGTCTTTATGTGTTTTACCTGTGAGAGAGGTAGGAGTGCTCAGTCCCTGGAATCTTCTTGGTGGTGTATATGTGTGTGTGTGTGCGCACACGTACACTCTCGCACAGGTGCGTCTTTGTGTGTTTTGCCCGTGGATGTGTGCGTGTGCCTGTGGATGCACCCAGTCACTTTGCTTTCGGTGGTCACACGTAGTTGTGTTTTGTGAGCCTGTGTATGTGTCTGCCTGTGTGTGCACATCCATGTATCTGTGTGCCCACGGTGAGGGTCCTCTGTTGGTTGGCTCTGGGGTCCGGCACTCCTGCACCCTTTAGGGACTGGCCCCAGGCCACAGCTTACACTTCCAGAATTGCAGAGGGGAGACTCGTAGCCTTGGGTCTAGGTGGTTTGGAGGTCCTGCCAGCTTCCGTGGACTTTCAGGTGCTGGGATGTAGGGGCTTCTGACTTGGCAGCAGAGAGCTAAGTGTGGTCTCTCCTGAGGAAAGTTTTGCTCACCTCCAACCTTGGCTCTGCAGTTAGTGGCCTGTTCATCACCGCTTCACTATTCTGCCTGGAAACCCCTGTGGAGTCTGGCTGCCTGGGTGTGCAGCTGCTGGGCACTGGAGGTCACTGCCAAGGATCCAGAGAGCAAGGACACTCAGAGAAACACCTAGCTTAGAAGTGTGCCATGATGAATTATTAGAAGGTGAAGGCCACTTTGATTAAGACACAGAATGTCCCCAGCATCACGGAAGCCCCCTCCATAGCCGTCTGACCACAGCCCTCTTGCTTGTATCCCATGTTGTCACGGCCATGTGTCTTCCTTTTCATAGTTTTGTCATCCAGCAGTGCATCTCTGGACACTAGAGTCTACCCCTGTTAAAATGAACCTTTTGAGAGTTAGCATTGTGGCAGAACAGGTTAGGCAGCTTTCTGCAGTACCAGCATCCCATATGGACACTAGAGTGTCTTGGTTACTTTGCTTATTACCCAGATTCCTGATAACACACCTTGGAAAGCAACAGAAGTTGGCCTAAGTGTTGGGTCCCTGCCATCCATGTATGGACCCAGAAGAAGCTCCTGCCTTTGGTGTGGTCATTTGGTCATATAAAGGGTGTGCCAGTGGATGGAAATCTCTCTCTTCTTCTTTTCTCTCTGTAACTCTGACTTTCAAACAAACACATTTTACGAAAAACAAAATAAAATGAAAAATGGGCTATGTGTTTTAAGCCTAAGAACCTGTGAGTTCTGCCTTGGCCCTTTGTTTTCACTGGACTTTGTTGTGGCTTATGCTGTTCGTCCCTGGTGTCCTGTGGTCCAGCTTGTGCCACTTGTCCCCTCATCTTCTGTGTTTCCTGGAAAGAGCAGCTGGATCTTGGGATTGGATCAGGCCCCATTCTTTGATAAGAATGACAGAGATGGTGGTGGGTGGGGAGGAGGGGTTTCTTCTCTCGTGTCTTTACAGCTGAAGGTGCCCTTGGGCTTCTAGTTTTGGTAGTTTTTGATTGTGGCATAGGACAGTAGAGGCAGGTGCTCATGTCTCAGCCATACCAGGAGACAAAGCTTTGCTTCTGGGCACCTGTATCAGGATGCAGTTCATCCACAGCCCTGGGAGGCTCCCGTGTACCCCTCGCTACAGCCCCAAGCGCAGTCTGCTGGTCTAGACCAGCTCTCTTAGGGGTTGAGGCTCCTTGCAGGAGTGGCTCCTGGGATGCACTGTTGTACTCATTTGTGGCTTCTTTGAATCCTGCCTGTGAGGCTCCTGCCATTGCTGTGTGTACCTGCTGTCACTCACTCTGTCTCCTGCTGGTGACCCGAGAGTTGTCTCATGGTTCTAGACTGCTGAACCTGGCCAGCGTGTCCTGGTGACTTGGGACAATGTGATGTGTGTATGTGTGCGTGTGCATGCGTGTTAGGGGACAAGCCCCCGACTGCCCTCTCCTCTTTCTACAGCTCGTGTTTGATTACCAGCCAGGAGACGTCTTTGGCTGCGTGGCCGACATTGGCTGGATCACCGGACACAGCTATGTGGTATACGGGCCGCTCTGCAATGGTGCCACCAGCGTCCTTTTCGAGAGCACTCCGGTTTACCCTGATGCTGGTGAGGACATGGAGCAAGGGAGCTCGGAGACTGTGATCCTTGAGGTCCTGGGTAGCCAGATGGACACCCTCCCAGGTTCCATGTCTGTAGGAGGCTTGGACGAGGGAGAGAAGGGAGTCTGATTTGGAGCTCGAAGACATTTCTAGGCTGTAGTGTCTCTGTCCCCTGCACTTACACTGCCTGCCCCTTTGTATTGTCCATCACGTCTCTGTAACCACCTGACCAGGGCCAGGCCTCTGCTGAAGCCCTGGCTGCCTGCCTGCCTCCCCGGCCCTGCGCCAGAACCCTCAGGGCTGTATGTACGACTGCATTGCACCTGCATGAGTTAGACCTCAACTACCTGGAAGACATGGCTGCGTCTTACTCCTTAGGGTGGCCTCCTCCCACATGGCACAGTTCCCCAACTATTTGTTCTCTTGTAGCCAAATTCCACCGGCTGTATCCTTTCCACACACTGGCCATTGCATGTGGACATATGTCTCAGCATATCCTGCTGGTCTCGGCCCCAGTGGCACCGGATGTGCTCCGGGAAGAAGGAGTGGGGCCAGACTTGTGATTGAGGACCTGGCTCAGGTGTGATCTTAGGTACTTCATCCCAGTCCCTGGAGGCCCAGGGTCCTTGGAGGGAATGGTGCGAGATGCAGAGTGTTGTATGAGTCAGGGGTGTGGATTCTGAGTTCGTGGCCCTGTCCCCGTTGTTCCAAGAGAAAGCACCAGCCATCCCTTTAGAAACCATTTATGTGCAACCGAGCCAGAGTTTTATATCACGGCAAACTTTTGTGATGGGACCAGGTAGCTTATCCTTTGGTCATGCTTACTAAATCCCACACTTGGTATGCTCACTCCTGACTCCCGGCTAGAAGTGCAGACCTGGGAGGCAACAGTGGCAGCTCAGGTGGTTGGGTTCTGACCATTTGTGCAGAACCAGGTTGAGTCCCTGACCCCCAGCGAGGGGCTCAGTGAATGGGAGCTGCCTCTGTTTACCTCTTGTCCCTCTCTGCCTCTCAGCATAATGAACTATTTTTTTTGGGAACCCACAGTGATATTTCTTTTGAACTCACTCTCTGCTGGGTCATGTGGGATTCACTGCATGGTGTGACTGTCCAAGGCCAATGGCCTCTGTTCTCACATGTGCCCGTGGACCCGGAGTCCTGGGAGCAGGTGTCTGCAGGACTTCATCCCACAGGGCACCCTACTGTTCATCGAGGACAGTGTGCACCCGTCTCGTGACGGCTTGTCCCTGTGGCCAGCGTGGTGGGCACTGCTGCTGATGGTGCACTTGGACCTGTCTGCAGGTCGGTACTGGGAGACAGTGCAGAGGTTAAAGATCAATCAGTTCTATGGAGCCCCGACGGCTGTGCGGCTGCTGCTGAAGCACGGCGATGCCTGGGTGAAGAAGTACGACCGCTCTTCCCTGCGCACCCTGGGGTCAGGTGAGTCCAGCTGTTGGGATGTGTGAGAGCCGGGCAGCAGTGGGCAGGACCTCTCTGCCCTGTGTAGGCTCATCACAAAGGCAGAAGAACCCAAGGAGCTGCGTCTAAGGGTCCTGAGGCACATGCGCAAAGCACAGGGTTCAGCTGCAAGAGCATTTCCGTGTGTGTGTGTGTGTGTGAGCAAGGGCACCTCAAGGAGCCAGCACTGAGGGAAGTGGCTTAAGCTGCCACCTGCAGCACTGGCATCCCACATCCTTTGGGTGTGGGTGGTCGAATCGCACTTGCTCCGTTGCCCATCCAGCTCCCTGGTGATGCTCCTGGGAGATCTGGATGGAGTTCCGGGATCCTAGCTCTGACCCAGCCCCAGCTGTTGTGACCATCTGGGGAGTGTCAGCAGATCTCTCTCTCTCTCTCTCTCTCTCTTTTTTTTCCCTTCACTCTTTCAAATAAATAAAAATGTATTTTTTTAAAAAAAGATACTTTAGAAATTCATGGAAACATGGAATTCAAAGGATAAACTGATTTTGTTGCCAAAACGTTTTTGAAATTCATGCATAGTTTTAAAAATTTTTCTGAAAGATTTATTTTATGTTTATTGGAAATAGAAAGTCAGATATATATAGAGGAGGAAAGACAGAAGAAGATCTTCCATCTGCTGATTCACTCCCCAAGTGGCTACAATGGCTGGAGCTGTGCCGATCCAAAGCCAGGGGCCTGGAGTTTCTTCCAGGTCTTCCATGCAGGTGCAGGGTCCCAAGGCTTTGGGCAATTCTCTATTGCTTTCCCAGACCACAAGCAGGGAGCTGGATGGGAAGTGGGGTTGCCGGGATTAGAACCAGTGCCCATATGGGATCCTGGTGTGTTCAAGGCAAGGACTAGACTGTTGCGTTGGGCCCTGAACTTTTAAATGTTAAGAGAGATACTGTAGAGCTGGCATTGAGGTGCAGCAGGAAAAGCCACTACCTGCAACACCACCATGCCATAAGGGCTCCAGCTGAAGTCTTGACTGCTCTGCTTCCCATCCAGCTCCCTGCTAATGGCCTGGGAAAGCAGAGGGAGATGGTGCAGGTGCTTGGGCTCCGGTCATAGACCAGGAGGAAGCCCCTGGCTCCTCCCTGGCCCCGGGCTGTCTGTTGCAGCCATGTGGGGAGTGAACCAGCAGATGAGGAATCTCTCTCTCTCTCTCTCTCTCTCTCTCTCGTTCTAGAATTCTGAATTTCAAAATAAATACATCTTAAAAAAAAAAAGATGTCCAAATTGCTTCCCCAAAATGCCTGTTTTCTCCCAAAATTCTTGTCAACCTTAAATTTTGAGTTTTTAATGATGAAAATACCCGTGTGTAGTTTGTGTCTCTTTGATGGTGACCCTAAAAACGAAGTAGCTCACTGCTTTTTTGGGATCTCCTTAAAGCAGTGCTATTTCCCCAACTCATGGATTACCAATCCTTTTCTCTCGCCCGTGGTTTCAGTGGGAGAACCCATCAACAACGAGGCCTGGGACTGGCTGCACAAGGTGGTGGGGGACGGCAGGTGTACGCTGGTGGACACCTGGTGGCAAACAGGTGAGTGCTGGCCAGGAGAAGGGGAGATGGGGAAGAGGAGGAGAAGGGGGAAGGAGGGGACGGGTAAGGGGGAAAGGAGGAGATAGAGGAGGGGGAGGGGAAGAAGAGTAAGGGGTGGAAGAGGAGAGGGAGGAGGAGGGAGAGGCTGTCTCTGCTCAAAGTGCCGGGGCTACAGATACAGATGTGGGGTTGGCACTGAGCTCTCAGAAGTAAATGCCAGGTGTGAGAATGGACCTGGCTCCTGTGTCCTTCCTTGAAGATGAGAAGGGTCTCTTCTGAGCCTTGCTGTCTCCATGCGATGATACAGTCAAGGCATGTGGCCCAAGGCCTGTGCTGTGTCCATGCAGTACACATTTCTGGGGACGGTGGGGGCGGCGGGGCAAGGCCCCTTTCTGGACCCAGGTGCATCTGATGAAGAGACCATGAACCTGCCTTTCAGCTTGAGGTGGGAGAGGGAGTTTTCCCCCCCGTAGGCTGTTGTTTCGGCATGGTCCCCAGCATGTGTGAGGGGGCAGGAGCGCCCTGTGTGGGACTCGGTGACACAGCTGTGTGCGGTTTCCCGCACTCATGGGCCGTTTCCACGCAGGCTGCTGGAGGCTAGTGCCAGAGCAGTGGCGTGAGGACAGGACTCATAGGGGCTCTCTTTTCATGGTTGGGTCTGTATTGTGCGGGCCCTGGCCCAGAAGCAGTTCCTGTATAAGTAGGTGGACTCTGCCCTCTTGCGCCGAGTGTCCCATGCCCTCAGACGATGGCCCCTCGGAGACACACGTGGTGCTGCTCTCCTGGCTCAGTCCTGGCTTTTCTCTCTCCTCCCACCCACTGCTGCAGAGACGGGCGGCATCTGCATTGCACCACGGCCCTCCGAGGAAGGCGCTGAGATCCTGCCTGGCATGGCTATGAGGCCCTTCTTTGGCATCCTCCCTGTTCTCTTGGATGAGAAGGTTTGCGAGGCCCCCAGGGACTGTCCCCTCACCCTGTCCAGTGGCTCTCCATCCCTGGCTCCTCCTCAGCTCCTCCTGCCCCTCCTGCCTGCCTCACTGCTGTCCAGCCCTGCCCAAGTTCTGTCCATGCACTGGACCAGCCCCGGGACCCTCCCCACAGCTTCCTGTCTTCCCTGCCATTCTCTCACGGGCATGGATCTCGGATCTGCAGGGGAACGTCGTGGAAGGCGGTGACGTCACTGGGGCATTGTGTATCTCTCAGGCCTGGCCGGGCATGGCCAGGACCATTTATGGCGACCACAACAGATTCATAGATTCCTACTTCAGGACATTTCCAGGTGAGCAGGCGGCAGGGCTCAGCACACACAGGAGTTCGCTTTCCACTTTCGGGGCTTCCAGCTCTCTGCCTCCTGAGAAGTCGTTGCTTTTCACTCGTAGGCTTGTAAGCGAGACCCCCTGTTTTCCAGAAGCTTCTTGCATGTGTTGCTAGCCAGTTTGAACACCATCTGTAGCCTGTGCTCTCAGGGCCCACCTGCCCATCTACTATTGCAGAGTGATGAGGCAGGCCGTCCTAGGTGTGTCTCCATGCTGCCTCCTGGAGCAGGCAGGCCAGTGCGCGGGCTCCCATACTGTCCTCACACCGGGCAGGGTCTTCTGCCATGTGGCTAGCCTTGAGTCCCTGGTTCTGTGCAGGCTACTACTTCACTGGAGACGGGGCCTACAGAACCGAGAGTGGCTATTACCAGATCACTGGGCGCATGGATGACGTCATCAATATCAGTGGCCACCGGCTGGGCACCGCCGAAATTGAGGATGCCATAGTAAGCTCAGGCCACGCCTTCTCTGCTGTCCTGGCAGCTCCCAGGTGCCTCGGGGGTGGGTGGGATTCTGTGCCCTGGGTCTGCCCAGTACTCTGGTGCTCCCTGATTTGTTCCGTGTGTGCACAGGCTGAACATCCCGCAGTGCCAGAGACCGCTGTTGTCAGCTTTCCCCACGACATAAAGGGAGAAGGTGAGAGCCAAGGCGGGGTGGTGCTCCTCATCATACATGCATCCTGGGAGAAGGGAACTGACCGACCCCAGAGGGCAGGGCTTGTACAAGGTGCTCTGGCAGGTGGAGATGTGCCGAGCAGCACCAGGAGGCCCCAGTTTCACTGCCCTTCAGGGACACTCAGCTGCAAGTTGCCATGACCTATTTGGCTCCAGCTAAGCCCAGGGTATTTCCTCTGGGACTCTGTTCTGTGTATTGTTGTACAAAGATTTTAACAAAATGTCTAGCCACATGCTCTCTCTCTCTCAGACACCCCTCACTGACTGCACAGCAGTGGCCTTGCCTGGGCATCAGGGTACCTTGTGGGGCTGGCCCTGCATTGGCTGCCATGGGACTGGAGGGATGTGTGATTGGCCTGAAGGAGAGGGCAGCACAGGGCATCAGAATGGCCCCCTTTCACCAGGACACAGTTTATTCCAGGCTAATGCAACTGGGCCTGGAAAGGGGCAGAAGTGCCTATGTGTTGTAATGCTATGGGCACAGTGGCTCCATTGGCCTGGCCTGGCATGACCCTGACACATACAGGCTCTGTGCCAGGGCTCAGCTGGGCAAACGGACTTTTGGTGGCCTGGGACTAGGTACTCTCCTCCCACGAGGGCTGTCCTGTCTTGACCCGCTCCCCACCATAGAATTGATTTGAGTCCAGCTGCCCGGAAGAGGGTGCGTCCACGAGGCGACTGCCCCTTGGCAGTGGGAAGCTTGTATGTGAGAGGGGCTGGTGCCCGGATGCCTTGGAATGCAGTGTTTGCTCACACATGACGCACGTGGCTGGCTCCTTGCACTTGTGGGGTTCTCTGTGTCCCACATCTCTGGCCTAATTGCCACAGGCTTTGAGTCCAGAGTGTGTGTTTGAGCCTCCATGGGTCAGGTGCTGTTACACCCTAGGGCTATTCCCCCTGCTCTGGGGACCTCTCCAGCCCCTTGATGGACCATAGTAAGTATGTGCTAGATCCGGATGGCAGACTAATGTGAGTTAGACTGTGAGGGGCTGGAGCAGGGCAAGGGCAGCTTCGTCCTCAGATGGCGGATGGGGGCCTTTGGTTGGGCTCAGGCGCCGGTTTCACATAGGCCCAGCCTGGCTGCAACCGGGCTGCTTCCAGGGTCTGCCGCTGCCTCTCAGCAGCTCTTCCTGCCTCTAGACAAGCCTGCTGGTGCCCGTGGCTCCTGAGAATTCCTTGACGGCCAGGGAGCACCTGCGGAGCAGGGATCTGACTGCACGCATGCTGCCGATGCCTGATGCACTGGCATGTCTCTGTGGTTTAGAACTCATTGCCGGGTTCCTGAGGCCATCTGTGGACCATGCTGTATTTTTGTCCTGGCTCCCTTATGGTCCGTTTGGCAGTCCCTTGATCTACTTAAAAAAAAAAAAATTGGAAAGCAGAGTTACAGAGAGATGTTGCATTTGCCGGTTCACTCCCCAGATGGCCACAAAGATTGGAGCAGGTCAGCTATAAGCCAGGAGCCAGGAACTTCCGGTCTTCCACCTGAGTGCAGGGCCCAAGCACTTGGTTTGTCCTCCTCTGCTTTCCAGGGAGCATTAGCAGGTGGCTGAATAGAAAGCAGATATGTTGGGACCTGAATTGATGGCCATATATGAAATACCAGTATTGCAAGTAGCAGTTTTATCTACTATACCGCAGCACCACTCAATCACTCTACCCCCTCGTTCTACTTTAATTAGGACCTGGGCTCTGCCAGCTCTGTCACCTCTGGCCAGGCTCATGTCTCTCTTTTCTCCCTCCCCCGATCTTGTGTCTTGCTGGCTGCCTCTTGGCCCTCTGGCTGCCTCCTTCCCTCCATGTCTGCTTTCAGAAGTCAACAGTTCACTCTCAGCTACTGGGGTAGGGGGTGGACAGCTGTAGTTCTTTCCCTCAGGGATCACTTATGCACCCTCATGAAGTAGGGGCAGTGGGTGCCCACAGAGCGAGTGTCACCACACAGCCAGGGTCATCGGCAGAGTGGAAGAGGCTGCACAGGTGGCTGGACTGGGTCTCCAGGAGCAAGGAGGCAGTTTGCCAGGCGGTGATGGGCAGTGGTTGTCCAGGCAAAGGCTCTTGGGGAAAATAGTCATTCCTTGAAGCACTTGAACAAGCACTGGCTGAGGACCTGCCATGCCCCTCAGACGTGCGTCTAGGTGCCAGTGACATGGAGTTTTCTGCTTCCTGGAGCCAGTGTGCAGGAGAGAAAGAGGAGAGGGCATGGGTGATGGACAACAGGGAGCATTGGTAAGGTGACCACAACCTGCCTTCCCTGGATACACCAGAGGAGAACAGGTTAGGACGGAGGGAACTGGTCCAGGAGTAAACAAACAAATGAAAGTCAGGAGGGCTGACATAAATAGAAAGTTTGTGCATACGGGAAGGCATGTGGCAGGTTGGGGGGCCAGGGCAGGCTGGCACTGTTGCCAAAGGCCACTTCTTTAGAGGACAATGAAGTCAGATTTTGCGTCCCAGTGGGATCTGCTGGAATCTTATTAGGAATACAGAGGGACGCAGGAGGGCTGGCACTTGTGTCAGGATACTGGCTGGCTGCCCACCTGTGGCCCCTGCACAAGTGGCTGCTATGTTCTTCATATGTTGTCACAGCCCAGTGGCCGTGTGTACACTGGCTTGTGCCGGGGCAGAGAAGGGAACAGAGCTCCAGTGCTGTGTTGCAGGTCACTCCAACAGCCTGTGTGTGTGAGTTGTGGTGCGGAGCTCTCAGCACACATACGCACTGTGAGCGCTTCCGGTTGTTTGTCACTCTGTGTGAAACCAATGCGCAGCTTTACAGCCACTGGGAAAGATGCCAGGCAGTCCCAGTGCTGCCAACTAACAGCCCCCAAACCCTTTGGCCCTTGCGGTGATCTGTGTGACATGCTGTGCCCTGGAGGTCCTGCGTGATCTACCAGCCCAAACCTCCGCTCTCCCTGCAGTCCCCTTTGCCTTCATCGTGTTGAGAGACGATGCCAGCGACACAGAATCGGTGATGAAAGAAGTGAAGTCATCAGTGGCCTCCAGAATCGCCAAATACGCTGTGCCCGATCAGATTCTGGTGAGGGACTCCTGCTTCAGGTTGGGTGGCACTGCTCTCAAGTCCCCCTCTCCCATGACTGTGAACTCCGATGCACCTGTCGCTGCTTTCTGACCAACATCAGGGTAGCGCCTGGAGTTTTCCTGGGAGGAGCTGTGGTATCCAGAGTGTACACAAGTCTCACTTGAGACAGAATCTGGAGCAGGATTACATGTGCTTCAATGGTATACTGGTTACAGGAACAGGGTGTCCAGTAGAGACGGGGAAAGTACGGGAGTTCTCCAGCCCCGAGACTTGAGTTTGCAAGGCTGATCCTTCAGAGCCCATCCCAGGCGGTCATTTCCCGGGAAAGAACCAGGTCACCCTTGTAGCTTTTCCTGTTCCTCTACATATTCCCTCCAGCAGCCCCTCCTGCTGATGGCTGTTGTGTTTGCTGCTTATTGTCTAAGGGAGTAGGTGGCCCAGCTTCACTTGGCACTAGAAGGTTTTTTAAGGTGAATGGACAGAGGGAGCCTGGACAGTCCATGGTCCCACACATGGCTCTTCCCATGTTACTGTCCCTATCAAGTGGGCTGAGATGGTCTGACAATGCAATATGTGAAACATTCAGATCCACTCTGTTTTAGGACAGTTTTTCTTGTAACTAACTTTCCCTTCAGAGAAGTCTCAGGCCAGGGGATGGAGAGGAGGGACCTGCAGGTGCTTCGCTGTGCTGCTGCCTCAGCCAGCAGGTGTCTGTGTGAGGCACAGCGGTAGGGGCAGGCCTGCCTGGGGAGGGTTTGTAGCAGTCCCTGCCCTCTGCTGCCCTGTCTTGGGGCTGCCTGCAGCCTCAGGCCGGTGCTCTCCCTGCCAGAGTCTAGCCCCTCGTGTTGGCACGGGTCCATGCTGGTGTGGGAGTCCAGGCAGCAGCCCCCCTTGTCCTAATTGCTGCTTCTGTGCTTTCCAGGTGGTGAAACGTCTTCCCAAAACCCGATCCGGGAAAGTCATGCGGCGATTGCTGAGGAAGATCGTCATGGGCACAGTCCAGGATCTGGGGGACACCACCACCCTGGAGGACCCAAACGTCATTGTGGAGATCATGAACACCTACCAGAAACACAAGGACAGGCAGGCAGCAGCCACCAAGTGAAGGCGTGCAGCGCAGGTGGCTCCCGGGGCCGGGGCCAGACCTGAGCCCTCCCTGCCCTCCAGATGGAGCCCCCCACGTGGCCACTCCACCCTAATGTGAAGCCAGGCTGAGTTCCTTTTTCCTCCCAGGGAGAGGCAGGCTTTGTCCCTTGGCCCTGAATTTAGCTTTTTTGGAGGCTTAGGTTCCCAGTCCCCACCTTCCCAAGCCCTCTCGTGGCAGCACGGGGGCGTGGGAAGCCTGGTTAAGGCGTGTCTGTTCACACAGCTTAGGATCGAAGCAACCACATTTCACTGTATGTAAGTGTGTAAGACAGACTTGATTTTTTTTTTCTATTTTTCTATGTTAGAAGGATGATATGCATTAGCCTGTGCACACTCTTGGTGACAATGAGTGTGGGGAATCTCCTTGCTTCGTCCCCACTAGTGGGGAAATGTGAGCGGCAGGGAGTACACTTCCACAGATCTGAATGGGAGATGTTTGCACCCCTCCCCTTGCCAACAACTGTTGTCTGAGCCCCGCGTCCCACTGTGAGCCTCCTGGTCGCTGTTGTGATGGGATGGTGATCCCCGCTCACCTCCAGCTCCACCTGGTCATACTGTTTCTCTAAGCTGTGATCTGCAGAGAGTTCCCTTCCTTTGGATGCCTCTTGGCCGGAGGTGGGCATGCACTCAGTCTGGGCAGGGTTGCTCAGGGAAGACTTCAGGGTCTCGTGAGAGCACCGCTTAAGCTGGAAGCGGGCTCCCTTGAGACCTGCCTGCCCTTTCTCCTCCAGTTGGAGCTGCAATCGGTTGAGTCTCTCACTGTGCCTTAAATCCTCTGAATAAGAGCACAATTGTGTAAATCTTGAGGTCCATCAGTGCCTACAGTGGTGACAGGTGGATGTGGCCCAGTGGGCTGGGTCCTGGAGGACAGGGAAAACTCCACCCCCACCCCCACCCCACATTTAGCTGTGCTCCACACTGCCTGGCAGCTGGGTCAGTGTTCACGGGGTGTCGGGTGCTGAACACCTCCTCTGGGCCAGCAGCTGGGGTGGGCAGGTGAGGAAGCCTTGTGTGGCCAAGCTGTGGCACTGGCTGCAAAACGCACACACACTGAACTGTGGTCCTTTAGCATTAGCATCAGAGAGCTGTGCACCAAGCTTGGTGGAGCGTGGCTGTGGTGCTATGTATGAGATGGCTTGGTTTTCCACATTGTAGACAGTGTACAGGTCTGGAGATGACCTGCTGAGGAGCCTAAATAAAACTTTATTTTATTCACCCTCTGCATGTGGTGGTGCTTCAGGTGGTGCCATTCGAGACACAGAAAACAGATAATCACACAGAGAGGGCATCTGCCTCTGGTCCAATCCCCAAGTGCTGACAGTGGGCAAAGCCAGAAGCCAGAGATTCGGTCTAGGTCTCCTGTGTGCTGAGCAGGAACTCAATTACTCGAGCCATCACCACTGGCATTTACATTAGCAGGGAGTCGGGTCAGAAGTGGAACATCTGGGACTCGAACCAAACCCGTGCTTATCTGAGATGCTGGCATGACAGGCAGTTGCTCAATCTGATATGCCACAGTATGGGCCCCAGCATCTACCTTCCTGTGGGAAGAGATGCCCAGAGCTCACCTCTTACTGTATTACAGCCTACCTTAGTACATGTGCCATTGTATGACACTCTTCCTTGGTACATGTACCTGTCTCGCTATTGCACAGCCAATGTGCGAGCCACTTAGATGAAATGAAAGGAAGTAACAGTTTGCTTCTTGGTGACAGTGGCCACATTTCACGCACAGTCCAGGAATCATACTTAGCAGCATGGCTAAGAGCCTTCCCATCACAGCCAAGAGGCCTAGTAGATGGATGTGAAGAAGCGATTAGATTTGGAGCAACACACAAGAGACAGAGGCTGCAGCGCAGGTGGCCTGGAACCTGATGGGAAGCACCTGAATGGATTGTGACATGAGAGGCAGACTCAGGCGGGTTGGGTGGGCATGGGGGATGAGGAGAGGGGAGGCCGGGAGGACATTCCTGCCCAGTGCCCACATTGGGTGGATTCCAACTGCTTAGAAAGGGGGACTTTTTTTTGCACTTCTGGATCCCCTGGGAGTCCTATCATCAGATCTGTTGTTAGGGGAGAAGTGTGTAGCCATACGCCCTTCCACAGTTTGGGTCACCAAGAGGCTAGGCATTATGTACAACCTGAATGAAGCTCCAGTTGTCCTGATTCCTGCTGGGGATCCTAATCTCTCCCACATTGCTTCCACTGCACATTTGTGTGGCCCTTTCCCAGCATTCCAGGGTCAGGCCTGACCATGTGAAATTGTCAAGGGCACTCAGAGACACACAAGGACACATCTGCCCAGCTATCTGTGGACCGAAAGAGGTTTTGGCGGCTACAGGGAAGGATCGGGACCCTGGGGAAGATGAGCCGAGGCTCAGCCAGCTGCTCTGGGACTCGGCTTCCTGTTTCCAGTTCTCTGTTCTAATCGAATGTCCTGACCAGGACTTCCAAGTCTTTGCCACTGAGATGCACAGAGACACTGGCTGACACCAAAGGAAAGGCAGAGACAATGCACCTGCAGGCGTGGCGCTCTCAGTGGGATTCAAACACAGTCAGTCTGAGCACAAGGCACCTCTCCCAGCCACTCTGATGGATCGGAGAGCAGCAGGAGGTGCCTTTCCGCGAGTGCTTTCATGGGAAGTGGATGTTCCCCAGAGGAAACTCGACTTCCCAACACATTCTGCCATATACTACACAATACAAAAAGGAATTGGGGCTGACATTCATGAAGTCACTGCCACACTTAGCTTGTGCCGCATCAGGAGCTGAGGTTTGGTGCTCCATCTCTCCCAGCTTACCTTCAAGTAGCTAAGGTTAAAGGAAATGAGCTATTGAGAATCTTGCACCAGCTTGCTGGCTGTGGAACATGTGGGCGTGAGCTCGAGTTGTAGGCCCCTGTGGACGACTACTTCACCTGCCAACACACTAATCATAGACCCACCTGCCGCCATGCTCAAGGGGAGCCCTGTGGCAGGTCCCAGGTTGTGCGGCTGCCTCACCACCATGCTGTCTCAGGTAGATGCTATCCCACAGTCCCCCAAAGAGCCAGGTTTGCACAGAGCATGTCGAGTGACCCCAAGGCTGCACCCTTGACTGCCATGTTCAAGGCGTGCCTGGCCCCTTCCTGGGACAGTTGCTTTGAGACTGCTGACAGCTCCCTGCATACCCTCCTTTAAGGCACTTTGAGTAGTTCCCAGGTATTGGAGGCCTTGGAGAGGGGGCACAAGCAGCTAAAGTGTAGACAGAGAGGGAATCTCTCTCACTGGGATTGGGCAACCCAGTCATCGTCTGTGGATCTGGCGTTAGCATCCGGCGCAGGTGAAACAGCTTTTGCTCTGGACTCAATGCTTGGGTCCCTCAGCTCCTGCCCAGTTTCCTGTGTTAAAATTCTACGTTATCCTGAGGTTATGAAGTGGTGGCTTCATGCATGGATTACTGCCCTTGTACAAGGTTACTCTCTCGCTGCCGAGCAGCTTGCTTTCTCTCCCTGCTTCCTGTCTCCAACTACAGATGTGAGGAGAGGAATGATCCCAAGGTCAAGGCCCTCCCACTGTTCTGAGGACCAGGCCAGTGCTTCCTTAGTTACGGCAGAAATAGTGAACAAACAGAGCCGCGTTGGGGTTCCCAGGCCAGGCCTCTAGGAGGCCTCCCTGAGCAAGCGCGAAGTTGGTGCAAGCCCCTGCGGCTGCTGCTCCATGGGGGGGATCCCTGTCCAGCAGGTGGGCCAGCTGTCCAGCGGGCCCTCCTTTCACACTGGCCTCTGAAGCCAGACATGGCTCACTGCATGCTCAGCTTGGGACCGTGGAAGCCAGGCACCAGGAGCCTGTTCCAGGTCTCCCACATGGGAGCAGGGTCCCAAGGCCTTGTGCTGTCCTTGACTGCTTTCCCAGGCCACAAGCAGGGAGCTGGAAGGGAAGTGGAGCAGCTGGAACACTAACCAGTGCCCACATGGGATCCTAGTGCATAGGCAAGGCGAGGACTTCAGTCACTAGGCTACTGCGTGGGGCCCATCGCTGTCTCTCTTTTTTACTCAAATAAATTTAAAGGCATTTTTAAAAGCCCACCCCTAAATGACGTATTCTCTCTGTGTGTCTTAACTCCACAGGCATTATGTTAGTACTGTTCTAACGTGATAACGTGAGTTTAGATTTCCGCACATTCTGTCCTAGTCTTTCTAGATATGCGGCCCACATGTGGAATCGCTGACCTTCTGCCTGGAAGCACCATCTGTGCCTGCGTCTCGCACTGCTCCATGCCTGCGGTGTACCCCAGGCTCACTGATCCAGCCTGCTCAGTGTGCTCTTGATGCAGTGTGAAGAGTTGTTCCCAGCGGCTCCACTTTCCCTTGCTCTGTTGGCAAGTCAGCTAGCAGCGGGAGCGGTGCCGAGGTGGTGACCTCTCCCCCCATGCTGCTTTCATTATTCTCCTTGTCCTTCCTTGCTGCAGCTTCAATCTTTGTTGACTTTTAAAACATGTATCCTTTTGGGATCTGTGGAGCTTGTTGGATCTGGGCCTTGACATCTGTTTTGCATTTGGAGATCCCTCAAGGAAGGAAAGAAAGAAAAAGGAGAAAAAGCTCTGTTGTTTTCTTTTTTTTTTTTTTTTTTGGAGGATTTTTCATCTTATCTTTTTCTCTCCATCTCCTGTTGTAATGCTCTGGATTGCCCCGAGAGCAGAACCCAGAATGAAGGCTCCCCAGTAGGCAACTCCCTTTGGACTGGGATTCCAGGAACAAACATGAGCAGGAATGCAGGCTGAGGAGCAGGAGGAAGAGCCCATGCCTGTGCTGCCAGCTGCTGGGGCTCAGCTTTTGCAAAAGCAGCTGCAGCTGCAACTCCAAGTTCACTTTCCAAGTTCACTTTCTCGAGCTCCCTTCCGTCCTGGGTGTTAAGTCTGGTCATTCTGGACCATTTTTAGACTGTTTCACTCAATTCCCCCTCCCCCACCCCATGCCTACTCAACTTTCTATTGGAGGGGTGAGCCTGAGTGTGTAATCATGCCGAATTCCACATTGTGCTTCACCCAAACCCTTCAGACGTGCTTCTGTGGGCTGGTGCATACGTTGTGTGTGCGGGTCCTGGCCCTCACGCACCATGACTGGTTCTCCTTCATTGTACACAGCCCCATCTTGTCCTTTTGAGTGAATGCATATATGGAGTATAAACATATATTTAAACATTATTTAACTGTTATTGAAGGACATTTAGGTGATTCCAATTTGTTTGTATCACAAAGGACTGAAAGAACCACCTAAGTACATCTTCAACAAGGGATAAAATAATGTATGCTTCACTTGTGGGGAAAAAAAAAGTATACTTCACTGCTTAGCTGGACGTGGTATGGTTGTTTTGTGTGGCTATTATCCACACACAAACAAGCCTACACTTTTAGGACGTTAGGTAGCAAGGTGAGATATGTGGCACAAACAGGAAGACCATTGCAACATAAATAATAAGCTAGGTCCCACAGCCCAGGTTGGGAAGCGCTGGAGGGGTGTGCTCTAAGACAGACAACTGCCTGTGATAAAAAGGAATAGAGCCATGGCTTTTTACAGTCATCTCTTTTTTTCTGGAATATTCTCTAAGCTGTTGAATTCAGATGTGCTTTTTCTTGAGTTCAGGTGCTGAAGAAGACTCTGGTTAAAAAAAAAAATGTGCTGTATTTTCTCTCAGAATTGGTTCTGAGGGTAGAGTCTTGGAGTTCAAAGCCAGACTACCTCAGGTCCCTGATGTCCCTTAAGTGTTGAAGCTGTGACTACTTAGTAGCCACTAGGCAAGGCTTTTAACTGGATATCAGGACTAGGCTCCAGAAATGCTGGTTGCTGGGCTGGCCCCTGGAATCACTGGGGCTGAAGCTCAGAATGGCGAGGCCTGGGAATCTGCATTTGCAGCAGCTCCCTGGAGTTTTACGCAGCTGGCCAGACCCAGGGAGCAGCTTTTGGGTTGTCATCAGTCAAGTTCCAGTGTACTTCCTTCCTTTCAAGCTAGCTCAGAGTTGTATTGGAATGAGATACAGCAAACTCACATAGCAAAGTCTACCTGACAAAAATGCACAGCTTAGCACACTAATGTAGAACATAGCCAAGATCATTATCATAAGTATTCGGGTCCCCAGTGCCATGCGATGGTGGTGGCAATGTTAGGGACACAGACCCACAGCCTTTGTCACTGTGACTGGCATACCCACTGCTTGTCCCTTCTGTGTGATGCCTT